GTCGCCGCCCCCCACCCTCGCCGTCGCCATCCTCGCACCCTCCCTCGCCGCCGCTGCTGTCGCCACCGCCGCCACCGCCGCCACCGCCGCCGTCACCGCCGCCACCGCCGCTGCCGCCGCTACCCTCGCCGCCACCGCGGCAGCCGTCGCCGCCGCCGCCGCCGCCGCCGCCGCCCTCACCGCCGCCGCCGCCGCTGCCACCCTCGCCGTCGCTCGCCGCCGCCACCCTCGCCGCCGCCCCCGCCGCTTCCACCGCCTCCGTCCGCTCTGGCCGCGCCGTCACCGTCCGCATCTCCCACGCCGCCGCCTCCGTCCGCCTCGCCGTCGCCGCCGCCTCCCTCCGCCTCGCCGCCGCCGCCGCCGCCGTCCGCCTCGCCGCCGCCGCCGCCGCTGCCACCGCCTCCGTCCACTCTGGCTGTCGCCGCGCCGTCACCGTCCGCATCTCCCACGCCGCCGCCTCCGTCCGCCTCGCCGTCGCCGCCGCCTCCCTCCGCCTCGCCGCCGCCGCCACCGCCGTCCGCCTCGCCGTCGCCGCCGCCTCCCTCCGCCTCGCCGCCGCCGCCGCCGCCGTCCGCCTCGCCGTCGCCGCCGCCTCCCTCCGCCTCGCCGCCGCCGCCGCCTCCCTCCGCCTCGCCGTCGCCGCCGCCTCCGTCCGCCTCGCCGTCGCTACCGCCTCCGTCCGCCTCGCCGTCGCTACCGCCTCCGTCCGCCTCGCCGTCGCCGCCGCCTCCGTCCGCCTCGCCGCCGCCTCCGTCCGCCTCGCCGTCGCCGCCGCCTCCCTCGATATCGCCGTCGCCGCCGCCTCCCCCGTGCTACCCGCTGCTCAAGCAGACTGCGGGGGAGGCGGCCAGTTCATGACGGTCGCGGGTCTCGACGAGACGGGCGCGTACTCGCAGCTCAACGTGCTGCGCGACAACGGCGGCCAGTTCAAGGGTGCCGACGGCAAGTTCGAGTTCAAGATCAACCCAATGTCAAGTGGGACGACGGTAAGGTGCATCCAAACGAGTAACCCCATGGTGCACCCCGGCTGCTCGGGCCACTGCGGCGTCACCGGCTACGAGGCCGTGAACATTTCGTCGACTGCGCGACTGCCAACGGGTGGGGCGGCCTCGAGTACAGCAGCACCGCCGTGCTCGACTTCGGTCAACAGTCCTTACAGCGGTTGGTGGTCCTACGCCGTCGGCAGCTGGGCAGCACGCAGCAGTGGCGGGGGGGTATCCCGGCTGCGTCCACCGCCGCCTCGGCCGTGGACTTCCAGGTGTGCATGCACACAGCGCGGTCTCGCTGCCCAACACAAAGTGTCAGCCGCCGCTCAAGCAGCCACCTTCTCACCCAGCCCCACGCCCACACCCGCAGGTTTGTGGGATACTGCCGCCACCGCCACCGTCCGCATCACCGTCGCCGCCTCCTCCCTCTGCCTCGCCGTCGTCGCCGCCTCCCTCGGCATCGCCGTCGCCGCCGCCTCCGTCCGCCTCGCCGTCGCCGCCGCCTCCCTCAGCGTCGCCCTCGCCGCCGCCTCCCTCGATATCGCCGTCGCCGCCGCCTCCGTCCGCCTCGCCGTCGCCGCCGCCGCCCTCAGCATCGCCGCCGCCGCCGCCTCCGTCCGCCTCGCCGTCGCCGCCGCCTCCGTCTGCGTCGCCGTCGCCGCCGCCTCCGTCCGCGTCGCCGTCGCCGCCGCCTCCGTCCGCCTCGCCATCGCCGCCGCCTCCGTCCGCCTCGCCGTCGCCGCCGCCTCTGTCCGCGTCGCCGTCGCCGCCGCCTCCCTCGGGATCGCCGTCGACGACGCCTCCGCCCGCCTCGCCGCCGCCGCAGCCTCCGTCCGCCTCGCCGTCGCCGCCGCCGCCCTCGGCATCGCCACCGCCGCCGCCTCCGTCCGCCTCGCCGTCGCCGCCGCCGCCCTCTGCATCGCCGCCGCCGCCGCCTCCGTCCGCCTCGCCGTCGCCGCCGCCGCCCTCGGCATCGCCGTCGCCGCCGCCTCCGTCCGCGTCGCCGCCGCCTCCGTCCGCCTCGCCGTCGCCGCCGCCTCCCTCGATATCGCCGTCGCCGCCACCCTCGCCGCCGCCGCCACCCTCGCCGTCGCCTCCGCCCTCGCCGCTGCCACCATCGCCGCAGCCGCCGCCTTCGCCCCCGCCGCCGCCTCCGACACCATCTCCTTTAATCGGCATCCATCGTCATCCGTTCGAGGTCGACTTATGCTGTCGAGAAAGCTGAATCGAAGCAAGTGAGCCATTGCATCTTGGCATGCTCCTGGAGCGAGGCTTTCTGATTGGTAGCCACAAGCACGGCGGATTCGGCATCGTAGCGCGAATCGTTCCCGCTCATCGGCCATTCCTCCCAAGTGATGTGTGTCGGCCGGTATTCGATGTCTCCACCTTCATAGCTAACGAGGACTCCCACGATTGCAGGGCGCTCCGGCGCGGAGAGGGACTCCGCCTGCTGTGCTGGCTGACCGCGCCCTCATCCTCCATGGGCTCGATACAAATCCGCAGCGTGACGTACCCAGTGGAGGTGC